TTTTAAAAAAAAAAAAAAAAAAAAAAAAAGATATACGTATGTATAAAACATACATACATATATATATACATATATATATACACACATATAAGATATACATGAATAGTGTGTTGCTTAGCTTTATGTATCAACTTGGCTAAACTACAGTTATTTAATCAAACACTAATATAGGTGTTTCTGTGAAGCTTATTCAGTAAATATAATTAATTAATTAACATCTGTAATCGGTTGATTATAAATAAAGGACATTGCCCTCAATAATGTATGGGCCCTTTCCAGTTTACTGAGGGTCTTATAAGCAAAAAATTGAGATTTTCCAGAAGAAATTAAGACTGAAGGCTCAACGCCTGCCTGCTTTACACATTTCAGACTTGTTTGGCCCCTACAATCATACAGACCAATTCACTGAGGGTTGCGATCCATTGCCGGACACGAAAAAAGACAAAAAAAAAGGAAAAAAAAAATCTCTAAATATATATGCGTAGATATGCACTCATATTCATATTCTGACTAATATGAATAGTTACTACAGAATTGCTTATGGTACTGAAATACAGGAAAATCTTAAATTCCATCAACAGGGATTAGATGACCTGTGGTAAGTGAATTCAAAGGAATTAAATATAGAAAATAAAATTAATCGGATATACAGATATCAATTGTTTTGATTACAAAAAGTTAAAGGATCTGTATAATATAATGTAAATATTAAAATATAAAATTGACACTATATGTTATGGGGGTACAAATATTTAAAGAATAAGATGGGCACAATAGATATATTTTAAAAACCAGGGTAACAGCCATTCTAAGAGTGAGAGATCTTGCTCTGTAATGTCTTTAATGTTTCTCTGCTCTTTGCAAATCTGGGTGGTAGGTGGACACATTATTTTTGTGTATTTTTATGTTTGTACAATTTCAAAACATTTTCTTAAAGTATTAAAAAGAAAGCTCTCACTGTATGATTTGATGTTACCCTAATACTGTGTCTGTGTCCGAATTTAAAATCATCTTGTCCCATGCTAAGGAAAATACTCTTCTAGAATATCTCCTGTTCTGCCCTGAAACCCTGAGTTAGTTATTTCTCATTCTTTAATGCCATATTTTATTTGTCAATTGTTTGGGAGCAGAGCAGCAACTTACATTTACATCTCACCTCCTCACCAGCACTGTATGAGGGTTCCAGTTTCCCCACATTCTCACATTCTCATTTCCCTGATGAGTAATGATGTTGAGTATACTGGATACATTTACTGGCCGTTTGTATATCTTTCCTTAGAGAAATGTCCATTCAGATCATTTGCCCATTTTTAGCCAAACTATTTGTCTATAATGGTGGGAATGTAAAATGACGTAGTTCCTCAAAAGGTTAAACATAAAGTTACCATACAACCCAGAAATTCCAATCCTAGCCCAAGGGAAATGAAAACATGTGTCCACACAAAAAAGTGTACACAAATGTTCATAGCAGCATTATTCATAACAGCCAAAAGGTAAAAACAACCTAAATGTCCATCCACTGATGATTACATAAACAAAAATGTAGTAGTATATCCCTATGATGGAATATTTTATTGTCATAAAAAGGAAGTACAGTTGTCCTTGGTATCCATGTGGGATGGGTTCCAAGACAACCCAAAGATACCAAAATCTGTGATGCTCAAGTCCCAGATATAAAATGGTGTAGTATCTACATATAACCTATGTACATACTCCCATATACACTTTAAATCATCTCTAGGTTACTTATAATACCTAATACAATGTAAATGCTATGTAATTACTTGTTATACTGTATGGCTTAGAGAATAATGACAAGGAAAAACTAGTCTATACATGTCAGTACAGATGCAATTTTT